AATGTTTCAAGAAATTTAAGTGACAAATACAACAATAAAAGAAAAAGGCTGTAGGCGTTGTTGGGCTTTTCCTCAAAGAGGAGTGTCTGAAATAACTCTGGGATTCCACTTGGAAAGGAGCCCAATGTAAGTTCTAAGTTGAGATTTTTCATATACAACAACTCACTTGCTGTTAAGTTTCCTTTACGGCATGTTAAGTGATTCAGTTTATAAAACTCAGTTTACACTTGTAGTAGCTTTTCTGCAAGGGATCTTCTAAAAAGAAAAACTCAAACCAAAATATGTTTCTGGTGGCCATATTTTCCAAATCATAAAAGGGGGCGTGAAATTTGACAAATGTCAATGTGCTTTTGGGGATGATCAAATGACAAGTTTCACATGAGGGCTATGGAAGTCCCAGGCCATATGGTTGTCATACCTTAGATAAGCAGGGCTTATCAGATACGAGGAGAGAGAAGGGGAATAAGGGAAGAGAAAAGAGAACAAAACCTTCCAAGAGATGGATGGGGTGTGAAAGAGGAAACATACTAAAATGAGGAGAGAATGTTTCAAAAATATTTTGGATCTCACATGAATAGGAGAGATGGCCTAGTCAACTTTTGGTACAGTTGGAAGTGACAAAAATCTGATTCCCATAGTGAGAATTTTATTGGATAATTCAAATTGCCTGCAATTAACATCTTTAGGAAGGTGGGAGAAAAACGATCAAATTACAGGCACAAAAGTGGTCTCAAAACTATATCCTCTCGCTAGGCATTAGGTCTGCCAAGAAATCCTTGCAGACACCTAGGCCTGACTAAAGTACTGGTAATACTTTCCAGGAGATAAGAGACAAAAGGTCTCTTCATAAACCACATTTTGACAAGACCGTGACAGTTCTTATATTATAGCTGGTGTTCAGAAAGTGAGCCCCGGACAGTACTTCCTAAGGCTTCCAGCTGTTACCTAGAAAAGAAGGCTTGAGGTCAGGGGCTTTAAGGAGGCTGTATTATCCTTCAGACCCTAGACTGGAATGTTTTAAACATCTGGACTGAGGCTTGAGGGACTCTCCACCTCATTTGCCACAGTTTTAAGGCAATGACACAAACCCCCCACCGATAAGGGAAGGTTAATGGTGATGTGATAGTCCAATTCATTTTGGGGAGGAGGTAAGAAATGAAATTCACATTTTATTTACTGCACATATTTTTCAGTATTTATAATCGAAAATGTCTGGGTAAAAGCCTTTTGGCAGCTCCGTATTTTGTTAATATACTGATTGACTGTATTTTGCTGTGAGTGATATTTTAAGAATCTAAGAAGGTATTATATGCATCTTCACTAAGCCCCAGATTGTGGAATTTTAAAAAAAATACTTGAGACCATCTGGGGAAAAAAAAGTTGATTCAGACTTCACACTATTAACCAGGTTAAATTCCAACTGAATTTACTATTAAAATTTGAAACCATAAAAGTCATTTTAAAAAGAATAATCTCAAAATGGGGAGACTTTTAAAAGAAAACTCAAAATCGAGAAAATGAAGCAGAAAATACAGATTAAATCTCATTACATAAACATCAAAGAAGAACAATAAATACAGTTAAGAGGCAAACTACATATTGGGAAAAGAAATTTGCAACCCATATTGCTACCAAGGGACATCTCTCTCATTAGAAAAACACCAATAACTCAAAGAAAAAATAAGCAAGAGATATAAACAGTTTACAGAAAAACAAATGTTTCAATCCCGCTTATAATAAGAGACAACACATTAAAACCACACCGAGACACCCCTTCTTTTTCACCTATGATGTTAGTAAAAAGGCCAAAGTTTGACAACACAGCGTGCTTGGACTGGCTGTAGGGAACAGGCATGCTCGCATACTTCCAAGAGAAACCCACCTCGGTACCCCATCACGGAGGGCAATCTGGCACCATGCATACACAATACGATGTACCCTGTGATACAGCTAATACGGTTTCCTCTGAAAACTTCCCTACAGACATGCTTATCCCACTTGCAAAATGACACATCACCTTATTCATCACACAACTGTTTGTAATAACAAAAGATGGAGAACAATCAAAATGACAGCCACAAGGCACCGGTTAACTAACTAAATCGTGAAACTTCTATACAAAGGAATATCATGCTTCTGTATAAATGAATGAGGAAATTATACAGGCACAGGGAAAACTTGCGTGATGTGAGAACAGCAAGGCACATGATTGCGTATGCAGTATTTCAGTGTGTACAAGGGGATTTGCTTATATATACATAACAATCTCTAGAAGAATAGACAACAAACTTGCAGTAAGGGCTACCTATTTGTGAGGAGGAAGGGAGCGGCCGGGTGAGTGATGGGACCATAATCTAGGGGTGCACAGAAGTTTACACTTTGTGATTTTGAATCATGTCAAGTATCACCTACTCAAAATTTAAACCAGCTTTACTGAAAAATTAAATACTTGGGTCTGCCTTGCAATGTTTTTTTTTTTTTTTTTTTTTTTTTTTTTTTTTTTTTTTTCCCTCTCCTTTCTGGGAGGATCATCACCTCTCACAGCCCGTGTCCTGCTTTTGGCAATTCTCTGTGCAGCGCACCTCACTGGCGCCTCCCTGTCCTTCCTGCTGTGGGAGAGGGAAACGACGGGAAGAAGAGTAGTGCCACGTGCAGTTCATGTGTGGGGACTCTCTAACAGCTCTTGTAGCTGTTTGGAGGGCTGCCATTTAGGCATCACTAGGGGCTCTTCTCCCGATTCCTGGCCACATTTTGGGCGGAGATATAGCCAGGAGAGAAAACGAGGGCAGACTGACAAAGGCAAAGGTGAAGAAAGAGAGCCTGCTGAAGTGCGTGCATTCCAGCGCAGACGCAGGGGCACCCTGTCTTTCAAAGCCTTTTCATAGAGCAGCAGCAGGATGGACCACGGGTCAGGAAAAGAGGCGGCAAACGTGCCTGGGGAGAGAGCATGGGGAAGGAGAGGGGACAGCGGGCTAGTGGAGAATGAGGAATTTTACAGTGTGGCAGGGTGGCCAGCATAAGGAAGAGCACAGACATGGAGGGAGCCCCTTGAGGAAGGATCTGTATCTGGCCCATATTGTTTTCATGGAGCAGTTAGCACAGCACATGGAGCCCTGAGAAGGGGTACCGCTCAGGACCCACGCTGCTGCAGTGGAGTCCCAAGGCAGCCACTTAGGCAGAGTGGCCCAGCCAAGTGACAACTTCTCAGAGCCTGAATTTCCACATCTTCTCAAGGGGTTAATATATTTCACACACTAAGCATTTTACATATATTACCCCCATTTAATCTTCACAACAACCTCATGAAAAGGAGCTATCATTAGACTCATTTTCTAGATAAGGCACCAGAGGCCCTATGGGCCCTTCCTAACCATAGGGCCAGGATGTGGCAGAGCTTTGGTTAGAACCCATATCTCCCTAAGCCAAAGTCTGTCTTTTAAGCTACTACACTATTTTAAAAAGTAAATGATACCATTTACAATCAGAGGGATTCCATAAATACTTGTAGTTTCCCAAGATGGTTCCCAACTCCTAGACCTAGATGAAACTGACAGTGAGTGCTTCCCTCACTGAGCAGCAGAGAAGATACCAGAGGGACTGGGGCATCTTTCTTATGATCCAAAATATGTCTACAATGGGACCACTGACGTGTGGGGGTCCAGATACATAAAAAGAAATAGTCTGGCAGGCTACAGCATCACTTCTGGGGAGGACATGAAATGGGATGTGCATTTACCTTTGTGATACTGATAAGGTGCTGCTGGCTCTTTGAACATGTTACAATCAAAAACACAACATTTATTTATAACGGACTAAGGTATGACGCTTAGGCATTTAAATGACGTCCAAAGTCTTCCCCTCGTAAGATTAGTCTTTGAATCCAAAACTATACAGAGAAGTTCCTATTTCAGTTTCTAAGAGTTTTGAAAACATATTAGAAAGTGAAGACATTCATAAGCAAAAAGAGATCACAGAATAATTTAGTTACCAATGTTAGCAGTTACTGCTTTCCCTACAAGGCCAAAATTGCACCGTACAGTATAAAAGAAAATAGATCACGTACCTTCTCATTAATCTGTCATAATCCTAAACTATACCTTCTCAGATTTCCTAGGTTTATCTGATCACAATAACTGGATATCGAAAATTTTGTCTTAGTGCTCTGATTTACCCACAACCAATGGAGATGAATCATTCCATATAAAAATTCTGACATAAATCCTATAAATTGGTTCATTGAAAGTAAAAAGGGACTGCTCGTGACATAATATGAATTAGTGAATGAGTCTAATTAGCATTTTAATATTAAAAGATATTAATATTAAATAGAGTTTGCCTAAGACAGGCCTTACAGAAATATTATCAAGAGATTCAAGTGTGGTGATTAAGACTGTACAGTCATGACTTTCAAACATTTATTACAAATGTTTCTAGGACAATAATTTTTCCAAGTATTCAAACCATCCAGAACGCATATGTGTGTCCTCTTTCAAAAAACATTTCACCATTCTTAGGGAAAAACACATAGTACATCCGTGTTTGCTCACTTCTCTCCCCCCTTCCTCGTCTTCATCCCTAACTTATCTACAAATTTAGGTTTCTAAGAGGTATTTTTCACATAAGGCCAAATGCATGCATTATATGTTTATTTTTAAAGCTCAAAAACATGCAAGTATCTGAAAGTTTGGAAAGAAGGTGGATGCAATACACATACAGACACACATAGAGCACCCGCAGTACATACACCCAGAAACAAATAACCCCCCAAAACTGCAAAATAAAGCAAAGCAAGCACACACAGGACATACTTTCATTGCTCCCAGCTACACACAAGCTGAATTGATATTTGCAAGTCTTACTTTTGGGAATTCAGGTAGAACAGGTGAGCTTCAGCACTATGCCATCTACAAGACTTTCATCCCCATGGCAACAAAACAAAAATTCGGCAAGCCAGTCCCGGCCATCAAGATGCCCCCCACTTAAGCTTGACCGCCCCTCACCTGCTCCCCTTCTCTCCTCTCTCCCCAGAAGAAGGCACTTCACGGAAACGTCTGGGAAAGCCCTTGGACTTTATTTTGTTACACCCTCTAAATGGACAAAAAACAAAAGAGAACAGGTGTAGAATACAGTATTTTCAATCGGCCACCAAGAGTCCCATACAAACGCCCTCCCCTCCCCTCTAACACAGACAGACCCCGTCATCAGGCCTCGTTAATGACATTTTCAAAAGAGGATGCTTATACACAAAGGGGTCTGGACTTTATGAACAGCTTTTACGGTGAGGTAAGAAATACCCAGTGGGAACTTTACTCTTGTAAGTCATCTTTACATGTTCGCAGCCTCTGTTACCCTGGTGTTAATGGAAAGCTGGGATATCGCAAACACAGTGATGACCCTTGTCATTCATATCCCCACTCTTCCACCTTTGACACACTGCCCTGGCAAACAGAATGGTTTAAAATATCATTGGAGTAAACAGAACTTGGGGATCATTTGGTCTTCCCTTCCGCCACAAATGTCTCTGATTCTGGTGCCATTAGACAAATCTGGGGTTTTGTCTTCTACCCCATGCTTTCCTCTCATCTCAGAACAAACATGTTCCTAATTCACAATACAGATTGCAGAATAAATAGGAGAGGCACCTAAGGGAGATGGGAACAGCAGTTGGCAAGTTATTACTATATATTAAGTCCTATATTTAGTTTCCCCTTAAAACTTAAATAACTGTAGCATCTGAGACTTGGCTACAGAATTTGAAAGATGCACTTCTGTCACACAAGAACACTTGAAGTATTTATTTAATTATATTTAGTCTCCTAAACCAGCTGGGCTATAGGATTTCACACTGAAATGATTCCTATTCTTTCCAAGCTCTGTTGGTAAAATAGCAATGACAAACTCAGCTATATGGAAGTTCTCTTTTTTGGAAGCTCTGTTGAATCCCACACTGAATTCTGAAGCCAGGTATGTAATTCCAAAGGAGTAAACATTTGGTTAACTATTGAGTCCACTGGTGGTTTTTTTACTTCTAGGAATGAACATTCTCTAATTCTTGAGTGTCAGATTTTCTTGACCCTTAATTCAAGCTTTCAAGTACTGTGTTAATTATGAGACTCCATGTTGGGTAAAAGTGCTTGGCACCGGAACCTCAACTTTGAGAAGTCAAACTTGGAAGGCGATTGAAAAGGGGGGGAGGGATTGCTGTAACACAGAACTTCCTGTCTCCCTCTTTTGAGTGCATTCCGGAACTACAACTGTCCTACAAACATCATGGATCTACTCAGTGTGGCTAGGAACATTAATCTGAAGAAATCATGAGTGTGTTGGAATGTTTTTACAAATTCTCATAAAAACTTGAAATTTGCAGCTTCCTAAAATATTTAGACTTTTTCTCAACCCTTAGCCCTACTCTGAATTCTGCCAGATTCACTCTTTCAGGAATTTTGGAGCGGAGCCGGCTATCCCCGCAGCTTTTCCTCACACACAATCACAGGCGCTTAAAACTACCACCCGTAAACTGACAACACTTTCGCTGAGAAGCAAATGCCACACAATCAATACCTAATATCTTGAATAATTGAGATATTTGAGGCCACCTGAGCAAACCAGCAGAACAGACATAATCCACCCTGGGGGGAGAAGGCAGTTAATTCTGAGAAATCCAAAGAAAGATGGTTGTTACCTAGAATAGACTGAACACACAAGGAGTTTCCCTTTCCTGAAAAATGAGCTCAGTTTAAAAACTTACCCACCCACCGCTTCCCTAACAGAATCAGTCCAGCTTTTTAAGTATCATGGAGCATGTTTAACTGGCAACCTTTAGCAGTGAATCTCTTTCTGCTTTTGTCTAATGACTATGTGTTGGCTAGTTCCAAGAGCTTCCATTGGCATCTCAGGGCCGACTCGACAGCAGGGGGGCGGTTACTATAACAACTGACAGCTCTCGTGAATTCTGAAAGGCCCCTGAGTAGCCATTTGGGAAACAGTTATTGAGCAAAAAGTTGCCTAGAACCGGCAGCTTTAGCTGCCATGTGAACCAGACCTCCAACTACAGTCACATGGAGAAAGAAAAAAAAAGAGGTGACCACCTCCAAGAACAGCTGGGGACCTCAAAAGACTCCCTGCCCCCATCCCTTTTAGCATCTCAGAGCAAGATAAGTTTAACAACACGGTGTCATCGTAAACTCAAACCCTCTGAGGCGAGCCATATTTTGGCATCACAGAATGCGCCTGAGCTCTCCCCAATGGCTTGACACATTGTCAAGCTTTGAAAAGCTGAATTGTAAAAATCATTCCTAATGATTAAAAAAAAGTCTTGAAATATGGCCACAGATACGGGTTCCAAAAAGAAAAGAATGGCAGACTCACCAGTTTTAAAGGAAAAAAATGATGCCAGAATACCTGTGGTCCAGTAAATGGTCTGTTGGTAGAAAAGATAAAGGTGATCACACAAACCCACTACAAATAATGACTTAGAAGCTCAGAGTTTTCCAGATTAGAGAAAGTTTTCTATACACCTACCTTTTAGATTCTCAATCTCTCCCTCAGCATTAAAAGGACACTCAGCAACTAGGACTGACCCAGTGCCTTTGCACATGTAGAATCTTCCAGTAAAGAATCAGATTGTACTCCTAAGAGTGGACTTTTCTTTGCATGAAGGAAGGGCACTTTGGCAGAGTTTGCCCTAAGAAACAATGAACGCGCCGTGATCCAGTGTTCCTGGGTCATCTCCTACACAGCGACCTCTGCTTGGAGCACTTCTCCTTTTTCTTTGTTTTGTAAAAAAATACAGCCCAAACATTCTCTCCTCCAAGAAATTCTTCTTGGCTCCCTCTCCTTCTCACCTAACCCTGGCTGTGGTCAGAGTCCCTCGCAGAACACGCTATTTTCCTTGATCACTGTGGCAACCCAGGGGAATGCAAATTCAACCACCCACAGGGCCAAACAGGCAAGGAACAGCGGGAAGGGCAGAGACTGGCAAACTGGCAAGGGGGTGCCTCTCGACAATGGGCCACCATGGCTCCATCCAGCCACCAACGACACAAGGGAATCTGAGAACAATGTTGTTAAATTTTCCAGTTTATCACAAGAAGCCAGACAACTGAGGTTTTTCCTCAAATCTATTTTCTAAATAATTCAAGATTTAAAAAACATGTCAGGTAAATGAAACTGGTCTGGAGATCACCAGTTTTCAACCTCTATTTGGGATAACCTTGGTTCACCTGCTCGTTTCTTCCTGTAAGGTCTGAGCCCCTTAAATGCAGGAACTCTGTCCCCTCAATGGCTCTCTAGTGCCTGGAACTAACCAGATGCTTAAGAAATGTTGAATGAACTAACAGGAGTCAAGAGGCCAGCCATAAAGGGTCTTATGTCAACAAAAGACCCAAAACCCTAAGTCTGAGAAATTCCAAAACTTACAGGCTGTTTGATCCTGGACAAGTCATTCCCCCTTCAGGAAACTCTTTCCTCTCTTGGGACAAGGATGATGCTCGCCCTGATGCGCCTTGCCTACCACGCATGGCTGCTGGAGGATTCAATAACATAAGGTGTTCTCTGTATTCATTCAGCCATTATTGCTGGTTATTGCCATTAACAGGGGCGTTTCCCCTTTCCTATATCTTCACAGTCACCTGCATGGGAGAAATCATTCTTAGGACACCCGTCTCCTTTGTGACTTTGCTGGGGTGAAAAGGGGACAAACACCTATACCAAAATCCAATCATCGTCAAGTAGACTCAGAAGCGTCGGCTGCTAGAGCAGATGGGTGAAGAGCACGTGCCTGGGCTCACAGCAGCTCTGGTGTCATTGTTGCTACGGCGGCAATACAGGAGGGATCTGCGTTCCAGCGAGGCACATGTGGTCAGTCATCCCTCAAGCAAGAGAGGGGTGTTAGCACATGCCACCCTCGACTCTCGCATGCATCTGTTTGTTTGCCCGAGCCTCCATTATGCCAACACAAATCCCCCACACATTCGCGGTTTGCATCCCTTCATATTTATTACACTCTGTCTCCCACTGAACATCCAGGGAAGAAAAAAATTGCAATGTCAACAAAACTCACTTGTTTTCATGAACAGCATTCTTAATGAGGAGGCACCAACACATGGCAAAATTTCTGAAACTCTAAAGATGGGACTTCAAATAAAAGAGAGACCTTTTCCTATTTGCATACATGGCTAAATTGGTGTTGACTGACTTACCACAGAATTTACAGATGGCTCGGTCATGTGCTGAAGTGAATCTACCAGATCAGAGTGTGAAATCCTTCTCCTACCAAATTTTAACAAACCTGGGTCAGATGTTACAATTCCCACTTAGAGAGTTTCCAGTTTTCTGTTCCAGAATCTGCTGTTCGCTCAGCCCTAGCTGAATTTGAGAATTAAAACTGCTTTATACTTTTGGAAAGCCTTTTTCCAGGCTAGAGGTATGGTCAATAAGATATTATATTTAGTATCAAGAAAACTAGCACTGATCAGCTGGGACTAAGACCAAATAGGTTAGATTATTCAACATCAAAATCCTCTCAAATAATGGAGATGTAACTGAGTGAATGCCACGAGTCAGCTTCTAGAACACGTGAAACTTGTGGATATTTTAAGTTTTCTTCCACGTGATTTTGGCAAATCCAAAACAAAGGATGATTTATATCTGGCCTTACTACCGCCACGTACAGCAGCGGAGACATCCCCTTTTCCTGGAGTGTGTTTTTGACACACACTATAAAAGTAGGCTGTGGAGGGAAGTATATGCCTCCAGGCACACTACTACTCCTCTGGACAAGATAACATACTGGTTAAGACAGTGGACTATGAAATCAAATTGGCTGGGTTCAAATCCACAGTCCACCAAAAATTAACACTGTGTCTTGGGCATGTCACATGATCTTACTAAGCCACAGTTTTCTGATCTGCAAAATGAACATAATACTAATTATTTCCTAGGATTTGTATACTAATTAGGTAGGGGTGTATCTAGTATGATAAATAGTCATAAAAGGTTCTTTGCTTGGCCGGGCGCAGTGGCTCATGCCTGTAATCCCAGCACTTTGGGAGGCCCAAGCAGGTGGATCACCTGAGGTCAGGAGTTT